GAGAGCCATAAAACACAGACTATTTGTTCCTAGCACTTCCAACATCTGGCAATGAGGAAAACCATATTAACACTCAAGATGCAAAAAACACTAAGTAATGGCCATTTCAACTGGCTACCATCTAAATATTTAAGTATAAATTACAAAATAACAGATCTCTGTGATCTTTGCTGGGCTCTAGCAAAAGTAAAAACTCACTTTCATCTCAAATAAGTATGCTCACATAGCAGGATCAGCAGGATTCTGGGTCTCTTACTTCTTGCACTAGATATTAGTGTATAGATAAAACCATACCATGGAATGACACTAAATGACCGTGGTTATTAACACCTTCTGTTCTGAAGGTCTGGTTACAAAATCTAATACACACAGAATTAGCCAAAAACAAGGTTTTAAGGAGATAAATTTTAACTGCCCCCAAATAAACTTAACTTCTGCAGTTAAAATATTAAGTTGATATAATGTTAAACTTAAACTTCATTTTTTTCTTAGCAAAGCAAGGCTTGCAAAGTTCAATGTAACATTTAAGTAAACAATTTCCGAATACTGCTAATAAGCAACATTTAAGAACCCTTTTTAAAGTACTCCTACTCTAAAATGTGGACATAGATAATGCAAAGCAAATATAATTCATTCATAATTTAAAACCTAGCCAAACAATTGCTTCTCTTGTACTATAGATCTCATTTTCCTCCTCCAATCCCACTAAAACATATGTCTTTAATCACCGTGAGCCTGGGCAACGTTATCCTTGTATGCTGTGATGTGGTAAAGATCTATATTAATATCCTTGGAGATTTGATGGACAGAAAAACACACAACTGTATTAAACATCCAACGACTTCTGTTAAATATGCTGATGACAATGGAGTAACAAAGAGTCACAGGGAAGAATACCTCTGAATCTCTAGATATACTCTATACAAAAACAGATGTCCTTAAATCTCTAACACTCCAATAGCTGAGAAAATGATCTATCAATTTGATGGAATATTATATAACCATTAAGATTAAAGATGATAAAGCTATGTAACACAGTTTTGTAATATATCCTAAAACATTTTAAATATACTTTTGTATCTAGATATAACTACAAAATACTAGATATAAGTGCAAAGACTTAAGAAAATAAGAAATGAATATTTGGTACAGTTACAGGGACTCCTCCAACCATTTGTAGTTTTACAAAGTAAATAAAAATCAGAAGGTCAAAAACTCACTGCCTCCTCTCTCTAAAGAACTATAAAACTATCATCAGCACCTTGGTAATCATCTCATATTTATGTTCTACACTAAGCACACCAAAACTTGCTATATATTACCCTTCTGGGCAAGGTCACCTGACAAAAGGGAAACAAGATCCTGTCTGAGTAGTTTCATTAAGAAGAGAGAGAAAAAATGACTACTTTACCTCATACCAAGGTGACAGAGGTATTTTAACCAAAGGCATGTTTTACTGCCATTGTCAAGTGTCAAATTTAACATTACTTTTTACCAAAATTAACAACTGTATCCAATTAAAACCCAGAAAACTACAAAATGCAAACAGACCATGTATAAATTACAATTTAAGACAAAGAGGATATTAATTTGCTCAACTTTGCATCAAAAATTCTATCTCTATAAGACTAAGAGATACAGAGATTCAAGGATATTCTGATACAGACATAAGCCTTCTATTATTTTATGCCTGCCACTGAGCATCGTATGAGTCAAAAGCTTGATAAAGGAACTCTGAAATTACTGGTCCTATCTCAAAATGCAAAACTGTTTTAGATTCTATTAATATGATTATAAAAGTAACTCTTCACAGCTAACTCCTTGCAGTAACTAATAAGCTGACCCTAAAATTCAAATGGAAATGCCAAAGATCCACAATGGCCAAAACAAACTAGAAAAAGAACAAAGTCGGAGCACTCACACTTCCCAGCTTAAAAATGACTTCAAAGTTTAGTAATCAAGACTGTGTGATAGTGGCATAAAGACAGACATATAGACCAATGGGCCAGATAAATGTTTATGGTCAACTAGTTTTTGTAAGAATGCCAAGAAACGTCAATAGGAATATTAGAGTCTTTTTAACAAATGGTTTGGGGACAACCAGATACCCACAATACAAAATAATGAAATCACATCTCTACCTTGTATAATATATGAAAATTAACACAAAATGGATACTTATCTGCAAAACAGTAAAAGTGGACCCCTAATTCATACCATATATGTAAATTAACTCAAAATGGGTCAAGGACCTAAGTATAAGAACTAAAACCATAAAATTCTTAGAAATAAACAAAGGAGTAAGTCTTTCTGTCCTCAGAATAGCTTCTTAGATATGACAACAAAAATAGAAACAAAAGAAAAAAATAAATTAGAATGTATTGAAATTGAAAATTTTTGTGCTTCAAAGGATACCATCAAGAAAATGAAAAGACAACCTATATAATAGGAGAAAGTATCTACAAATCAAATACCTGATAAGGGACTTATTACTTAAAAGACAAAACTCAGTAAAAAAAACAAATTTTAAAGGGTAAAGGAATTGAATGGATAATTCTCAAAAGATACATAAATGGCCAACAGTCACATGAAAAGATGTTCAACATCATTAGTCATTAGAGAAATGCAAATCACAATGAAATACTTCACACCAACCAGAATGGCTAAAATCAAAAGGACACACATTAACAAGCAAGGATGTAGAGAAACTGGAATCCTTGTGCAATGCCAGTAGGACTGTAAAGTAAGGCACCCACTTGGATCGATAGTTTGACAGTTCCTTAAAATATGAAATGACAAGTTAGCAAATAACCTAGCAATTTCTAGGTATATATCGAAAGGAGTGAAAAAACAGGCCCACACAAAAACCTATACATGAATGTTCACAGCGATACTAATGATAATAGCCAAAAAGTGGAAACAACCCAAATGTCCATCAACTGATGAATGGATAAAGAAGATATGATATACTTATACAATGGATATTATTCAGCAATAAAAAGGTATAAAGTACTGACATATGCTACAACACAAATGAACCTTGTAACACTGCGTGAAGTGAAAGAAGTTAATGCATTTAACAGGCTATTTGCAAAATACATTTCCTTTAACTACTTTTCCTCTACACCTTTTATGCTCAACCACCCAAATACTACGTCCTCTATAATATCTCCCCCATGACCCAAAATAAAACTCTTTTCCCCTTCTATGACCCACTAGACTCTATTAATCCATTTCTTCCACTCTGCTTAATTATTACAGTTACCTACGGACATGTTCAGGGCTCCCTGCTTTCTGATGATAAGATTGTCAATCAATTCTATCTTTAATAAAACAATGGCTTATACGTAAGGGTGTTCAGTGTTCTTAAGGGATAAACATCATTAAAATAAAAAAGAACAAAAAAGCTTTAAGTCTGACTCTTGATCTTAACTCAGGTCTTGATCTTAGGATTGTGACTTCAAGCCCTGAGTTGGGCTCCACGCTGGGCATGGAGCCTACTTAAAAAAAAAAAAAAAGAAAGAAAGAAAGAAAGAAAAAGAACATATTTTGTGCTGGAATTGAACTGAGCTCAAATCTAGATCCCCCAATACTTTGTTGGTGAATTCACTCAATATTTGTATAACGTTGACCAAGTTACTTAAGTTCTAAGTCTACTTTCCTCTCTAAATTGAATGTGATTATCTACACTTCACAAAAGTGTTTGAGGATTAAATTCAATATTATATTCCTTTTCATACATATGTCTTCAATAAATGCAATTCCCTTTATTCTTCTTTTCCTCAAAAGTAGCTGAACGTATTTCTTTTGGTCTGTGAAAAAAATGTAGTAGATAAAGGATATACCCAGGAAAAAAATGATCTCAAGCTTTAAAAGCAAGTTAATTTCAAATTTATATTGTAAACCTCACATTTTATTAGTAAAATTACCTGTTAACAGTCTCAGAATTAAAGTCATTTAAACTGGAGATCTCTCATTCTCACAGTGATACCACCACAGTTACTAGAAAATTACTTTATCCTAACCAAAATTTGCTTTTCCAAGAGGCTTGAATATCTTACAGGAACACTTTCTTAGGCAACAAATTTAGCAAACATAGTAAGCTCTTATACTCTGCAGAAGAAAACGTACAGGGAGCTTTATGTGCTAATTACACTTTCCAAATCATATGTCATCTTTCTTTGATTTTCCATGCAAATTTTATTTATTTGTTTTTAAGATTTTATTTATTTAGAGACAGAGTGTTGGGGAGGAGCAGAAGGAGAGGGACAAGAGACTCTATACTAAGCATGGAGCCCAAAGCAGGGCTCCATCTCAGGATCCTGAGACCATGACCTGAGCTAAAACCAAGAGTCAAAGGCTTAACCAGCTGAACCACCTAGGCATCCTTCCATGCAAATTTTTTAATTTATCTGTGGCACTCCCTCTTTTGCCATGCTTTCATTTTTCTAACACAACTATGAAAGTAGTATTCTTACCCATTAAAATGGTATACTAAATTACTATAATTTGTTATGGAAAATGATTTTACAGCATAAACCCAAGGCTATAATTCTGTGCCCTTTGACCTAGCCATCTAATTTCTGGGAATCACCCAAGGAAGCAATATTGAATTTGGGAAAACATATATATACACACACACACATATATATGTATGTGTGTGTGTATACATACCTACACAAACATACATAAACATGTTACTACAGTGTAAATGAGAACAGAGGAAAACTGGATGCAGCCTAGATGTTTCCAATCATGAAATAATCATAAAATATCATAGAGCCATTAATAATGTTGATGATGGTATAAAAATTTAACAGAGCATTATGAGAGATTAAAGCAAATTCAAAATTAGCTCCCAAAGCATACATATAACAGGAAATATTTTTCACAAAAATAATGGATAATAATTATGTTAGTATGACAGATTTATGGGTATTTTCTCAAAATTTTTATACACAGATTATTTTCATAAGTTAAAGGAATAAGCATACTTTTACCTTATCCCAGAAATCAACCAAAGCTGTAAAGTCCCATTTCTTAGAATATGCCACATTGTATTTCAGAATAGCATCCTATGGAAAAAGCATAAACAAAACTTCATGATATAGTCAAGTAAATTATCTACAAATACCCTTTCTTCTTTATGAACTATTTCCAGTAATCAGAATTAAACTTCCTCCTACCATTAGCTACTCCATGTAAGTAGCTATGAACAAACAGAATACACACTTATTTATTATTCACTTAAGAAAAATGAGATTAGAAAGGTCAAGCAATAGGAAAAAAATTGTAACTCTAACGCTTGCATTATAAACAGAGGTGATACACTCTCAGTGGATAAAACTGGATCTTGGAGATTAAAAAAATTAAATATCATAATGACTGTTGGCTATCAAAAGCGTCACAATATATATGCAAATATACAGTGTATTTTCAGTATTATAATTTCACGAGAGGAGTAAATTAGGAAAAAATGTCTAAAAAGGCTTCACAGGAGAGATGGCAATAATAAGAAAAGATTGATGCCTAAGGAATAAAATGGTCTTTTTTCCTTTATTATCAGCTATTTTTATAAGTGACATATAAATGGTTATCTTCCCCCAGCAGTTCATATAAACTATATATTTACACAGAGAGAAAAGTCAAAATAGCACGCCATCTACTGGTGTGACATCTGACTAAGCAGTACTTTATTCTTGCTTAATGGTGATAAAAACAAAACAGGCCCCAAATGGAGTCAATTATGCTAAGCCATACTTCACTAGAGACTTAATTACAGTTTCAGCTACTCCCACAAATGGAATCTTAAACCAGTCAATGAGGAACCACCTGGTCAGCACTAGTTAGTTCATCAGCCTGAAAGAATTTTTCCATCCCCTAAAGGAAAATGACTGTCACAACCAATCCACTTTTCCTAGTGTAACATACTTGATTCCACTCTCTTCTGCCTTTAAGTCTTTCATTTTGTACAGCATCTTAGAGTGCGTTTCCATCTGCTAGATAAGACCCTGCCTGATTCATAGATCGTTGAACAGAGCCAGTAAAATCTTTAAAACTTACTCATATGAATTTTATTTAATACCAGAGTGGGGTATGCATAAGACAATCCACTACTTACGCAGAAAAAACTATTATGGTTGACCCAGGAACAACACAAGGATTGAAAAATCTGCATGTAACTTTGACTCCCCCAAAAAACTTACCTACTAATAACCTACTGTTGACCAAAGCCTGATAACATAGTCGATTAACACATATATTGCATGTTTTATGTATCATAAACTGCATTCTTACAATCAAGTAAGAGAAAATATTAATAAAATTACAAAGAAAACACATTAACAGTACCGTATTACCAAAAAAAACTGCACAGGAAACTGCTGCAGTTCAAACCTGTGTTGTTCAAGGGTCAACTGTGTTTGTAATTACATTTTATCTCATCACTTTAAATTTCTATTTTGCTTATATTTTATGATGTATATATTACTAATGTAACAAACAGAATTTACAAGCAACTGTTTATATTTATAATATACACCTCCAATTTTTTTTACTGAAGTGTATGTAAGTTGAAAAAACACTGTTAGGTTACAGTAAACCTTCCAAATTTCCTCATAATTGAATAAGTTTTTAAAAATACTCTGTCAAGGAGCTGCGTGAAAAACACTTCATGCCATATAAACAATTACCAAGCAACTAGATTAAAAAGTAAACCAACAATGTATATTTACTTGGAATCAAGGGATATCCAAGTTCCTTCAAAAAGGAAAACCATCAATCATAAAATAATATGGTAAGAAAAAGTGTTTCTTTTTCTTACAGCTACATACAAAATTTTCCATTAAGAGAAGATTTTAAGGATTTTTTTTTTCTAATTACATCTGATTTCAGAACCTCATACAAAGTCTTAAATAGCAATTTCTATCAACAGGTAAAAGGACAAACAATGCATACACTGCAACAAACTGCTGATAAACTCAACAAGACAGACGAATCTTGAAGATTTTCATTCTAAGTGAAAGAAGCCAGACACACTAGCATACATACTATGTGATTCCATTAATGTAAAATGTAAACTAATCTATGGTTAAAAAGAAAGAAAAATAAAAAGAAAAGAGAAGAGAAGAGAAAAAGAAAAAGTAAAAGAGCAAATCAACAACTGCCTGGAGACAGTGCAGAAAGAGGAATTAAACTATAGGAATAAGAGGGATCTTTGAAGGTGACAGAAATGCTCTGTACCTTGATTGTAGAGGGGGTTTCATGGCTATATGCAAATGTCAAACATCATCAAATTACATACTTTAAAAGCATGCATGTTCTTATATGTAAATTATTCCTCAAAGTTAGTTAAGGAAAAACATTTTACATTCTAACTTTATACTCTAATTCTTTAATGTGATTTTATAATTAGCATTAATTCCTAACTAATATTTAGTTTTACTTTAGTCTTCAAGTCTCAAAAGTAGTCTACCACAAGGTCTCCTATCATTAGAAAAACTGGACACTATTCTGTATTCTTAGCTACCAACTACTGAGATTTCCTTTAATTCATAGTTCATAATACACACAATTAAAGCACAAAGACGTCCATTCTTTGAAAATTATCAGACACATTATAGCAATATTATTGTGTAAACTGACTTCTGAAGACACTATTCCTTTTTTAAACTTTTAACATTTCTAATCCTACTTAACCCAACATCAAAAAAAAAGCAGCAAAAGATTATTATACTCAGTAAGAGGGACTTAATGTTCCCCTCCCCCATAGTGTTCTTTCAGCAAAAGAAACAATTACCATAAGCAGACAGAAGAAAAATCTCTATGAATTACTCTGTTCTGCTGAATCAACCATAAAATAAACAAGAAAGGGAAATTCAGAATAAAGCAATTACCCCTTCTTAAAGTAATCACTGGTGCACTAAGGAATTGCTAAAGAGGTGAGCAGACAAGGTAATTTAGAATACTATGATTATTGTGTTTATGCTTAAAGAAGAAACATGAAAAATTTAAATAATCCTGCTTATAAGGCCGTAGGACCTAAGACAGTGTTTCTCAAATGGAGTATAAATAGTATTCTTGAGTGGCCTGCTTTCATGGTTTTGGAATACAAAGGGCAAAAGACAACACATTGTAGGAATGAAGGCAAGTATTTTAACCAGATAAAAATGGTGAAAATTTTGAGCCATCCTAAGAAATACTGCAGTACAGAACTATCAAATTCTACAGAACCTGGACCAAAGTGCTCACTATCATATTTATTTGCAAGCTGATGTTCTCCATACAAATGCCATCTTTGCATCTACTAACATCCACCAACTGTTTGTGATTGTAAATAGTAAAAACAAAGTGAACAATTTTTTTCTTTATAAAGTATTTTTTAAAGTCCTCAGCATACTATTTTGAGGTTCAGATCAGTGGTTAAAAAACTTTTGTGCAGGGCGCCTGGGTGGCTCAGTCAGTTAGCTGTCTGCCTTTGGCTGAGGTCACGATCCCAGGGTCCTGGGATTGAGTCCCGCACAAGTCTTCCTGCTCAGCTGGGAGTCTGCTTCTCCCTCTCCCTCTACTGCACACTTTTACTCTCTCTGTGTCAGATAAATAAAATCTTGAAAAAAAAAAAAAAAAAACTTTCGTGCAAAAAGGGCATACTGAGTATAAACTGTTTTCACTGTGATAATGAACACAACTCAAATGATGGTTCATAAAGCTTAAAATGCCAAAAAAAAAAAATCAAATGGATATAGTTGTAACTATAAGCATAAAGAGTTTATGTTTAATGTTTGATGCCTGTACATATGTAATTAACATTATACTAAAAATAAGTAAACTCTGGGGACCCTGAGAGTTCCTTCCATTTTAAGGGAGTACATTATAAGATTGAGAAACACTGTCCTTAAGGAATGAAATTGGGGATGCCTGGGTGGCTTAGTGGGTTAAAGCCTCTGCCTTCAGCTCAGGTCATGATCCCAGGGTCCTGGGATCGAGCCCAGCATCAGGCTCTCTGCTCAGAGGGGAGCCTGCTTCCTCCTCTCTCTCTCTGCCTACTTGTGATCTCTCTCTGTCTGTCAAATAAATAAATTAAATCTTGAGAAATGAAATTTTCAAAATACATTATGGTACAACATCCAATGTTTTCCACATAGAGAAAAAAGACAAACAGGAGCTATAGAAAGGTATAGAAAGTTTAAGAAAAATTTGCTGAATATAAATGGAGAAACACTATAAAACCTGAGGAAACTGTACACAACAAAGTCTCTCAAAGAAAATGAAACCCTGGGGTGCCTGGGTGCCTTAGTCATTAAGCATCTGCCTTTGGCTCAGGTCATGATCCCAGGGTCCTGGGATTGAGCCCTGCATCAGGCTACCTGCACGGTGGGAAACCTGCTCTCCCTCTCCCACCCCCCTGCTTGCGTTCCCTCTATCTCTATCAAATAAATAAATAAAACCTTTAAAAAAAAAAAACCCTTTTCACACAAGCATAGAAAAATCTGTTATTGTTAATAGTTATAAAACCTTCAAAAGTTTATATGGCTACAATGCCAAAAAACAGTTATACTCACCCATATTTTAGATATTAGAAAAAGAATCTAATCGTTGCTCTTACAGTCTTAAGTGAAATATTTTAAAAAATCAAAAACTAAATTATTGTCAAAATGTAAAATTAATAAATAGATTGCTAGAAGGCTATACTAACAGCAATACAAAACAGAATGTTTAATGTATACTTTAATCATTAGGAAATGGTATTTCCCTTTTGGCAAATATTGTTAAAGTCATAATTCTTTCCTGACTTATTTTTAAGGACATTTCAGAAACATGATAATTTTTAAAAATAAAAGAGAAGCTTGGTCTGAAGGAAACTGGATGGGGAATCAAGAAACAAAGGTCTTATTCCTGGTTCTCCAAATTATTCTGTGTGTCTCCAGGCAAGTCATTTACAACTCTAGATTCTTCTACTCATTTACTAGTGATGGAGTGGAAACCAAAAATGTCTCTTAAGAAGAAAGTTCCTCAAGAACTAAGCAATTTGCAAACAAATATCCTGTTACCTCTGTCACCTCTGATCACATGGAATATTTTTACAAAATCACCTTTGGGGCCTCCAGCTGAGGTTGAAAATACTTTTAGCATAGTTGTTGACTCTTGACTCTTCTTTCCCCTTTAATAGAGTCTATTAAAGATCAAAAAATGTCTTTGAGGGAGACACAAGGCCCATCTCTAAGACAATAGCAAAAACAACTACCTTCAGGTTTTGGGGTCGTGTGAATTTGTTGAGAAGTGCAGTCTGAATGAGCTCCCACCGGCTCCCTGCAGTTCGCTCACCATTCTTTAAGGAAAAGAAAGAAATGAAATTATTCTAAGTTCTTTTGGGTCATAGAATCAGAAGTCAAATAAGCACATACAAAACTGTCTTTCAGAGACTAAAAGAACATCTGTTTTGTGCTTACTTCATCTTCCACAGGGTACAAGTTTTGTTCTGAACAAGGCATCTTAACATGCTTGTTGTCCCACAAATCTTTAAAATGTGTTGGGAAAGGTTTAGGAACTTCTCCTGCTCGCAAAAGGTCTACCTGAAAGAGAGGGAAACAAGGAAACTGTAAGTGCATCAAAACTAAGCATACCTTCTACAAAATAATCCAAAGAAAGCAGCCAAAGCAAATGCTATAAAATGCAGACCAGCTCCTCGGTAAGAAATCTCAGAAGTCCTCTCCAGCTGTTCCTGCTCCTTATTTCCAGTTGATCAGTTTCCAACTCATCATGTTTGCTCATTCCATCTCCATCCCATCTAGGCCCTTGTTCCTCATTATTGCTTCCCTTCTATCCCTCCCCTTACTCCCACTGCCCCCAGATATTCACCCTCCATAAACCCCTTACTTGAGAACAAACTCAATCTTTCTAAAGTATTCTCAGGCTCCTAATCCTATAATGGCTCCCCTCTATCTATAGTGATACAAATGATGTTCTCAGTTTTTAACAACTCTTACTCAAACACTATCTGGTTAAACATCTATTCTGAACTTCAACACGCAGTTCAAATTTCATTTCCTCTAAGAAGTCTTCAAAAACTTAAGGACAATTAGTTTCTTCCCTCTTGTTTTATTAGATCATTATCACACCAGAAAACATCTGTTTTTCCTTCCCCCACTGGACTCTAAATTTCTTGAGAATAACCATATTAACTGTAGACTCTAAATATTTATGAAGAGCCTGTTTGTATGTTTTTGTATGTGTATGTGTAGATACATATATATGCAAATACATATGTATGTGTACACATACACATATGCTACTTATAATAAGCATTAAACAAATATTTGAGGAAAAGAATATTTGAAACATGAAAGGTTTACATTTTGCCTATTCTGGACATTTCGTATAAATGGAATCATACAGTATGTGGCCTTTTGTGTCTGGTCTCTTTTCTTAAATGTAATGTTCTCAAGGTTCATCCATGTTGTAGCACAAATTAGTTCTTCACTGCAAATAATCACATAAATGTAAAATTTGAACTGTAATATGTTATGAGAGAGCTTCATGGTTTTATGAGAACCTACTCTAGACAATTCCAACTCACCTGGTGAGCTTAGAGAAGGCTTCCTTGAGGAAGTGGCAATTGAGCTGAACTCCAAAGAATAAAGTTCACTATGAAAAGGAAGACATGAAGCTCGTTCCTCAAAAAGGAAATAGCTTATGGAAAGGAAGACTGTCCAATACACAGCTCATAAAAAGTCTGTAACTCAAGGAGCGCCTGGGTGGCTCAGTTGGTCAAGCATCCAATTCTTGATTTCAGCTCAGGTCATGATCTCAGGGCTTTAACATCAAGCCCTGAGTTAGACTCTGCTCTGGGTGTGGAGACTGTCTAGGATTCTCTCTCTCCTTCTGCCCCCCAGTACCGGAAAAGGAAAAAAAAAAAAAAAAAAAAGGAAAAAGAATGTCTGCAACTCCAGAGAAATAAAGCTGTAGGCCATCTATACAGGTGGCTGTTAAAACCCTCATCATGGAGGAGACCACCCATAGAAACAAAGTGAGAAAAAAACAGGACCTACGGAAAAGCCTTGAGAAACTCTAACAAGATTTAATGGCCACATATGCCAGAAAAACTAAAGGAACATAAGACATGGCTAAGGAGGTAGGAAGAAAACTAGGATTATACGTTATCATAGAAGCCAAGGAACGAGAATATTTTGAGGAAGAAAGAAGAGTCAAGAGTCAACAACTATGCTAAAAGTATTTTCAACCTCAGCTGGAGGCCCCAAAGGTGATTTTGTAAAAATATTCCATGTGATAAGAGGTGACAGAACAGGTACCAGTCCAGGTTCACACACATGGGAACACACGATATATATGAAAGTAGGCTTTGTGTGTTTGCATCTGAATGTGTGTCTACATGTTTTTATCATGTCTTTAAAGATAAACAAACACCAAATAACATGTCCCTGCACTTCCAGTTTGCCCTACATTTCTAACAGTAAATATCAGCTTTATTTTATTACTCTAAAATGTGTAACTATTAATATGTGGCATCTTAGAAATGTAACTAGGCTTATCCAATAATTATTAATTACATGTATAGATTACTGTATTCAGAAAAAAGAATTTAGAAGAAAATACAACAAATTGCTAAACTTTGGAAATAGGACTAAGAAAGACATGGGTTTTGAGCTACATACTTTCATATAATAGCTGCCTTTTTTTGTTTGTTTACAATGACCCTGCATTACTCTTGTAATAAGAGAAAGATCTTTTAAAAGATTTTTAAAATTCACAGGTTATATCTAAAAATAAGCAAACAGTAATTTCAGAGATTAAGTAATGATGGTATAGGATGCTTTCGGTTTTACTTACAGACACTGAGACAAAGAAAGGCAGTAAACTCAAAATATCACTTATCTCCCCAATCAATCTTTTCTCTGAATCTTGACCATTAACATTTTCTCAGTCATCCAGCCTTTTCTTAATTCTCCCTTCATTATCAGTGCCTCCTTTTCCCTTATCACCCTGTATTTAAGAATATTCACCACATCCTATCAATTTTACCCCAAAACAAAGCAACCATCTAAATGCTTTTTTATTTCCATATTACCCTATCTCAGTGATTTGCAAACTCTTTTAAATACCATATCCCTTTCTTCCCCTAAGAAATCTCATATGAAATCATATATAAACAAAATAAAACTATTTTTATAAATATAAATTTTACAGTAACCTTTATTTGTTCCAACATCAATAAATGACAAGGAGATACGAAATACAAAATTAGGGATGACAGCTAAAGCTTGTATCAACCTTCTACTTAATTTACATTTATATCTCTTAAACAGTATTAAGAAAATCCTACTGCTATGCCTAAATAATTGCAAATGATGTTTTTGTTTTTATAGTTTCAGAGGCAGAGTCTAATGATTCATCAGCTGCATATAATACCCAGCGCTCACTATATCCTCCTTAATACCCATCACCCAATTACCCCTTCCCCCAACCCTCCCCTCAAGCAACCTATATATGTCCTAGAGTTTAGCATCTCTTATGATTTGCCTCCCTCTCGATTTTCATCTTACTTTATTTTTCCTTCCCTATATTCAACTGTTTTGTTTCTTAAATTTCACGTGAGTGAAATCATATGGCATTTGTCCCTCTGACGGACTTATTTTGCTTAGCATAATACCTTCTAGTTCCACCCACATCATTGTGAATGGGACGATTTCATTCTTTTTGAGGGCTGAGTAATATTCCATTGTGTATATATACCACATCTTCTTTGTCCATTCATCTATTGATGGACAGTAAGGTTTTCAAACTATTACTCTGAGGCTTAAGGAAATTCTTCAGTTAAACAGCAGTGGTAAGGGAACATCAATGGTATGGTCTGCACTAAAATGAGTTCTCTTGGTAAAATCTGCTGAGTAAAATATATTAAGCATTTTCATATTTGAGTATGATAGTTCCTTTATTATAGGCTTTTCACAGTTAAAAAAATACTTTAGAAGTAACAGATGAGTCAAATTTCCCAAGAAACCATGAACCACTTCCATGCAGCACAATTTGATAATTATTGTTTGTGTATTTTTCATCTCTTATCTGAGCTCTTAAGTTACAATTCTGTTTTCAATGTATCTCACTTCGACTTTCCTTCCACACAACTGTCTGATTAATCCTGCTATAGCATAACTATTGTATGGACAGACATTTTAACAATTTCCAATACCTAAAGACTCAAGTCCAATTCCTGATACCTAAAGCCCTCTATAATATGGACCTAATCCACTTTTCAAGACTTGTCTTCCACCATCTTCCATCCAAATTCTAAGCTCTAGTAATTATTTTCCATGTCTAAAACAAATAGTTTTTCAACTACACAGCCTCTTCTTCTAAGGATTATGTATGTATCTTGGAATTCTCTTAACTTATTAATTCTCCCTTAATTTCTGCCTTTTTTTAAGATTTACTTATTTATTTGAGAGAGAAAGAATGAGTGAGCATGGGTGTGGGGAGGAAGAGAGAGAATCTCAAGCAGACTCCCTACTACACACAGAGCCCAATGCAAGGCTCCATCCCATGACCCTGAGATCACGACTTAAGCCAAAATCAAGAGTCAGACGCTTAACCTACTGAGCCATCCAGGCACTCCTGTGCTCATCTTTTAGAGCTCAGCTCAAACCCTACCCTGTTCAATGTTGCTTCCACCTCTAGCCATGATAAATTCTATACTTCAAAATATCTAATCAACCCTAGACTAAGCTGTATAATAAAAGGGATTTTTTTAAAGTAGTTCCTGTGAAATCTAATACAGAGACAAAAAAAATGGGGTGGCTATTTAAAACTACCCAATGAGTGACAGAAATCTAAAATTGGATTAAAAGGGGTACCTGGCTATTTCAGTCAGTGGAGCACATGACTCTTGATCTTGGTCATGAGTTCAAGCCCCATGTTGAGTGTAGAGATTACTTTAAAAAAACAAAATCTTGGGGCACCTGGATGGCTCAGTCAGTTAAGGATGTGCCTTTGGCTCAGGTAATGATCCCAATGCGATCAAGCCCTGCATTGGACTCCCTGCTCAGTGGGGAGCCTCCTCTCCCTCTCTCCCCTATTCATGCTCTCTCGCTCTCTCTCTCTCTCTCAAATAAATCAGTATAATCTAAAATAAACAAAACAAAATAAAATAAAATAAAATTTTTAAAATTGGACTATGGTGGGGCACCTGGGTGGCTTAGTTGGTTAAGTGTCTGTCTGCCTTCAGTTCAAGTCATGATCCCAGGATCCTGGGATAGAGTACCACATCGAGCTCCTTGCTCAGCAGGGAGCCTGCTTCTCCCTCTCCCAAAACAAAACTGCGAAAGTCAATTTCCTTATCAGCTGAAAATGGTTCATCTTATGGGTATATTAAGTACTATTATCAAATAAGCTATCATTATATTTCTCTACAGACTTCTTAGTATTTTATATATCCAGAAAAGAGAAGCAGTTTCTATGCCTTGGTCTCTTTTTCACATTAGTAAGTACCATAATAAATCAAGACTTAAGAGTCTTCTCTCTTTTTCGGTAAGAAGTAATACCTACCCGAATAGTTACTGTGTGATTAGCAGATGGTCTCAAGAGAGGGAGCCGGATCCCACATCTAGGCAGTCTTCTCATCTCCTCAATAGGAGTTCCAAGCCATTTCTTATCTGGAGAAAGGTGAGGTGGAATGTATTTAGGTATCTTCCTTTCTGTTCTTTGATGCTTGATTTCACACTGTTCTTTTCTAAGGTCAAAACAAATGTATTCAGTCACAAATCACTCACTGCTAAAGTTTTGTTGGATAAACAAGTACAAAACTTACCCAGAATGTTATTGTTTAAAACATGCCAAGGGGTGCCTGGGTGGCTCAGTCAGTTGTCTGCGTTCAGTTCAGGTCATAATCCCAGGATCCAGGACTGAGCCCTGCACTGGGCTCCCTGCTCAGCAGGGAGTCTGTTTATCCCTCCCCCTGTGCCTGTCCCTGACTCTAGCTTGAGTGCACACACACACTCTCTCACATAAATAAATAAAATCTTAAAAAAAAAAAAAAGTGTGCCAGGCTTGCTCTCTCCCCTAGGTACTTACAATCAAAAGAAAAAATTATAAACCTTAGAGTAAAACTGAAGAGCTTATTTTCAAGTCTGTGTTAAGAATTTCTAAACAGAAGAAATCACCTTCCCAAAAAAGACCAGGTAAGAATATGCACACTGCCAAATGAGTCATGGTTCATAGCATCAGCTACTTCTCAGATTTCTAGAATAATTTTCAACAAAGTGAACTTACTGTGGCACATGTGACAGAAAATATCACAGAAATTATGGAGAGCAAGCTTGAAGATTCCATATGGGATAACTGTAAAAATGTAAGCTTTATAATCAGACAGACTAGGATTTAAATTCCAGCATTACCACCCACAAGTTAAAACTTCAGTGAATTCTCTAATTCAAATTTCAGTTTTCTCATTAGTGAAGTGAGTACAGTATCACCTGCCTACCCATTAGAGCATTAGAGAAAATGTAGTGTACAAAAACTTAGAAAAACTGATACATAAACAGAAGCTACTATCAACCTAGTATTTTTATATTCTGATAATCCCCATAAATTCCAGAAGGAAAATCATGAAACCAAAAAATTCCAATTAATAATATTCATTAGCTTCTTGTTATCTGTTTTGGTCTTTTTGAATCTAGGTTTAAATTTACCATAAGCAATTAACAGGAAACACAACTATTTCTTCGCTTTATTGTAAACCATAACTTTGTTAAACCCCCTTGCAAAATTATAAAAGGTATTACACTATTGGAGATAGTCTTGTTGAAAAAAATTACCTTTTGTCCTCTGCTTTGGGCATTCTCATGAAATGATCTGTGATTTTAGAATCCTTTTTCCCATGTTGCTTTGAATTTCTACATTCTACATTCAGGCCAGAATTACTTCCAGGTGGTCTGGCATTTAAATCATTCATTCCACTCCGAGTCTCTCCTCCTTCAAATTGAAAATGTAATCGAATTTCACCTTCTTTAGAAGAGGACCGTTTCCTCAATTCAGTGTCAGCTTCTCTTGCTTGGAACCTTGAAGGTTTACTTGCTGTTTGGGAGGAATTGCTATCTTCTTGTTCATCAAAACCTGGACTTGTCTCTTCATCTGCTTCTGAGTCCTGACAACTATTTTTGGAATTATCCACGTCCATTGGTGACTCAGGTTCACTTTCTTTCTCAAAGGGAGGAGAATTTCCTAAACTACTCTCTTGTCTACTCAGTTTGTTGGCATTTTTCAGTTCAGTACCAACATCCTCAGAGCCGACATCTGACAAGGGACTCTCTGGCACCACATCTACCTCTTCCTGCTGACAAACTGCACAGTCTTCTATAGGATGGCAAGACTTGCTGCACTTCTGGTGGCTTCTGGCTTCTCTGGTCTGTTCACCTTCTGTGGTCTGCTTTTTATTTGTTAACTTTACAGGTGTCAAAAATTGTTGGTTATCTCTACTTCCCTCACTATCTGTGTCGCTGTGATCATCATTTCGGGATGACTGATCAACGTTAGCATTACTGAATCGCTCTGGTACCAGAGTAACTGTCGAAGGTTCACTTTCTAAAAGCCTCTCTGTATGTTTCCCTTCATTTTGCCACTTACACATAGCTGCAGTTTGATGCTGATTCAAATATTGTGTACTTTTCTCAACAGGTGATTTATCAAGACTTAGCTGAGAAACATTTTCTAATTTTTCCATATTATGTTGGTAAAAGTTATCTTTTTGTACAGAACTCATCATGGATTCTACTCTTGTATTGTTGTTTTCTTTACTATGCAAACTACAACAGAATAAAAAGAACTAATGAGACAACAGAAATTACGATACAATAAAAAGAATTTATGGTATAAAAAAATCACTTGTCCAACCACACTCCCCGTGTCACAGCAGTAATTAAACTACTGGTGATATCCTAAACACAGAGTGTGCTCTTTCATGACTCCATGACTGCACATATGCCTAAAATGCCCTTTCCCCAACTCTATGCCTGGGAAACACCTGCCATTCCTTTAAATGTTAAACTTCACTCACCTCCTGGCAGGCCTTCCTGCAAAGATAAAGCTAATTCTTGGTTCTATTTGCTAACCACCACCACCTTTCTGTTCTATTTATCACACTATGTAATAATCATGTGTTTTTGCAACTGTCACCAGTATACTGTATCTTAAACATACAGACTATATTCCTTTTTCATCTCTGTATGTCAAGTATATAGGATAGACCCTAGCACATGAAGGACTCTAAAAATTAGTATTTATAAAGTGAAAAAATAAATACAGATAAAAAAATGGAAAAGCAAGGAGAAAGTGACATGAAACAAGATAAAACCTTCATATATCATGTTACATATTTTTCTATATAGGCATGTTTCTATACCTTTCTGATTCAGTTGTCTTGATTCCTTTAGTGTCCATCCAACTGGTAATAGTCTTTTGTTTGAAAACTGTAAAAAAAGAAAAGACACACACCAAAAAGATAAAAATACCTATGGCACCATTTATTCATGTAAGGCACTGTGCTAGGTTCTGTGATTTAAACAGAGATTAATCATTCCTTCCACACTCAAGCAATGGGAGATAAGACAGAAATATAAATATAAATGCATTTGGCTTTAAGCAGAAAGTGACAGGCTCATGAAAGAGCTGGGATGGCCTAATGGATGAGAGTACAGGCTATGAAATCAAATCACCTGGATTCAAATCCTAGTACTCCCATTGGATTCCTGTGTGTCATTGTGAAGGATCATTTTTCTGTCTCTCAGATTCTTTATTTGTAAAATTGCAAATTAATATTATTTCCCCTGGGCTTATTATGAGGTTTAAATTAAACAACACATGCAAGGTGTTAAGTTTAAGGCACAATCTGGTACATGCTCAGTAAATGTTGGTTCTTAACTACCTTTAGTATTAAAAGGGATCCTGATAAAGAATTAAGGTGCACTTCTGGTGGCTTCTGGCCACCAAAGAAACTACTTTAGGGAACTGGAGTAAGTGGGACAATTTGATAAGTAGGGCTTGAATTGTTCCTTGAAGAATAAACGTATACTCGCATAAAGGGAAAATCATAAGCAAAGGCACCAATGCCAGGGAAATATAAAGAACTTAAAAAGAAAGCAACAGAAAATATGACTGGAAAGTCAACGAGGACCATATGAGAGAGTTTCCTGAATGACCCACAAAAACAGGTACAAATGGGGGCACCTGGATAGCCCAGATGGTTAATTGTCGGCCTTCAACTTAGGTCCTAACCCCAGGGTCCTGCCAGCCTCCCTGCTCAGCAGGGAGCCTGCTTCTCCCTCTACTTTCCCCCTGCTCGTGCTCTTTCACCCTCTCTGTCAAATAAATAAATAAAATCCTTTATTAAAAAAAAAAAGCATACACTGAGAACTATAATTTCGAAACTCAAATCTAGGAGGTGCCCAGTCATGCACGATACATATCCTTGAGGGCAAATCTAAAGGTGCCAGAAGGAAGAGCCTATTGGTAGAAATGAAGCTATTGGTCTAGGTCAGTAGCTCCCAAACCTTCTGAATCATCGGGGGCTGGTAATTAATGGATCCTGGGACCAGGCCCCAGACCTACTGAATCACTCTATGTGTGATGATGGAGTCAGGAGGGAAGCTGGACTCTGTATTTTTTTTCAAAAAGTGACTCTGATGATCATTAGCTAGGTTGGAGAACTAATGGCGAAGGACCAAAACTAGTCATTGTGAGAAGGGAGAATAAAAGTTGAGAAATGAATCATCACAGATTTCACAACGATTGAAGTTAAAGGTGATACTAAGCTTTAAGTCTGATAGACTTGAAAGATGGTTACAACATTAAGTTAAAATGTAGACTATAAGACAACTGGAGGGACACCTGGGTGGCTCAGTCAGTTGAGCATTTGCCTTTGGCTCAGGTCATGATCCCAAGGTCCTGGGATCAAGCCTCATGGGGGGCTCCCTGCTCAGTAGGAAGTCTGCTTCTCCAGGACTCCTGGGTGGCTCAATCAATTAAGCGTCTGCTTTTGGCTCAGGACATGATCCCAGGGTCCTGTGATGGAGTCCTGCTCCTTGCTCAGTGGGGAGCTTTGCTTCTCCCTCTGCCTGCTGCACCCCCCCCCCCCGCTTGTGCACTCTCTCTGACAAATAAATAAATAAAATCTAAAAAAGGGGGGGGGGGGCTTTGCCACTCTTCCCTATAAGGCGTGCAGTCTATATCCCTGCCCCTTTAATTTAAAAAAAGAAAAAAAAAAAGACAACTGAATTTGGGGGAAAATATGATTATATCAATTGTGAACATACTAAAATTGAGATGCCAGAAATAACCAGATAGAAATGACCAGCAGACAATAGCAGAAGTAGAACTGATGGCTCAGTAGAGGAAGATACAACATAAATAAATGCAAACCAAAATTTACATAAGCATTTAAAAATAAGCATGCTTTCAAAATTAACTGCACTGCCTATGGATTAAATGTATATAATACCTTAGTATAAGAAAATATAAGATGATAAATATTCTCAACTATTCCCCAAACTGCAATGTAAGAATCTGAGCCCCTTAAGACACAGACTCATTCTTATTTGCTTATGTCTCTCCTCAAACACTATAACATGAGCATAACAAGTCTCATAACAGATGCTGTCCCAAACACATGAAAATCAACAGCTTTATCATTGTATTTGAGTGCCATATAATTCATTCCTTACATTCCTTACATAAAATACTAACGTTCCAACTAGTAAAAATCTTTGATTAGCATTTTAAAAATAGTTTCTATCACAACAAAGTAATTATATTTGATTTTCTTATTAAACACATTTCAGTGATTTTATTAAGTTAGTACTTCTACAGAAAATCAGGCTTCAGAGAAAAAAACTAGCTTCAATCAGAAAAGGATGAACCACTTGATTCCAAGACTTTTTCTGTAGTTTCATCTTTCTCCATTTAATTTCATTACATCAAACACAAGTGTAGAAAATCTTCAAATTACAAACCAGCAAGGGCCCCAAATTCACTTTTTGTGCCACTGTGGAATTTATTTTTTTTTTTTTTTAGATTTTTTTATTTATTTATTTGACAGAGATCACAAGTAGGCAGAGAAGCAGACAGAGAGAAGTGGAAGCAGGCTCCCTGCAGAGCACAGAGCCCGATGTGGGGCTCGATCCCAGGACACTAGGACCATGACCTGAGCCGAAGGCAGAGGCTTTAACCCACTGAGCCACCCAGGTGCCCCGCCACTGTGGAATTTAAAACACCTTTCTCCATAAATGTAAGGATTAAATGGTATGCCCAGCATTATGAGGGCAACTGACACTGAGAATGTGTCTTCTCTTCAGCTTCAAGTTTCCTACTATAATTCCTGAAGCCTGTGAACAGATAAAGGAGGAGCAGGAGCTGAGGAACCAGTATTTCCTGATAATAAGATACTCCTCAGTCCTCCTGAGAGTCCTACTTCTTTCCATTGCCACTATTTCTGGCTTTCAAAGGTTTCTTTTGCAACATGCCACAGGACTGCTTCAGAATTTTACCCCCTAATTCCTGAAATGAGGATAAAATTATGCTTTCCACATTATCTGGTAATTTCTGTCTTTTTATTAGGAATAATCGCAGCAAACAAAAAGGAGGGCAGTGGTAGGTGATGAAAAAGATACAAGATCTGGAGTCAAACAAGATCTTGGACTGAGATCCTTGCTCAGTCACTTACTAGTACTTCGCTTCTTTGAGCTTCTAATATTTCCTCAACTATAATATGGGGTTAGCAGTAAATATCTACCTAAAAGTTTATATAGATTAATGAGGGAAAATAATAAGTGTCTAGTCTCACAAAGCAGAAATTTAACAAATGTCTTCTCTTCCAACACTCCCACCCAATCTCTTTTTCAATGAGATCAGCAGTTCTCCAAGCCTATTCTAATTTCACACCATTTACACTTAATCTCATTAGTAACATCACTCAGTAACCAGTGTATTTCAAAATTCAATGAGCAAATCAATTACTTCCTGCCACCAACACAGGTGAAAGACACAACATGCTTTGGAACTAACCTGCATTTCAAAGGAACAACCCACCTCCACAAAAAGGCCCCTTCCTCCAGCAGGAGCAAGATAAGGTATGAGTAGGAAGGGTATGGTGAGACCAAAGTAATGGACAGTGGAGTTTTGAGATGAGGAAAGAGGTCAGAAGATGCTTTTGACAGCACTGAGGTGAAGGAATGACATGGAGGAAGGGGGACAAACTGGGTCCAGTTACTCACCAACTGCTACCACTAACTGCTCACCAACTGCTACCACCATCGCCCCCACTGACCTACACTTAGACCATGCCTGGAGCAGGGAGACAAACTCCAGGTAGTTATAAAAAGCAGAAAAGAGTAGCACTGAGTTCTGCCTATGCAGATCTGCAGATTTCAGCTAATATAATACGCCCAGAGAGGTAAATAATACCATATTTAAAGATGTTGAATGAATATCCATTTCTTTTTCTCACCTATTCTCCTAAGAGAACTATATACTAAAATTTTTAATACCAAATTCCTAAAAGAATTTCAAATTTGAAACAATAGTTTTTGTTTAGACTTTGCACATTTTGTTAATTGGTGTCCTGTACCCGGTATACAAAAATATTTACACATCTGAAGTATAGCCCAAGTATTAATTTGGTTCCTCTTCTGCAGAAATCTGCAGAAAATAAGATCCAACCATGAGGATTGACTGCCCTCCTCCACTAGCAACGAACTCTTCCACCTTTATATGCAAATAAAGTTAATGGGTCTACAAATCAGCTTCTTGCAGAAGTCAGATACCGTACTTGGAGGTCACTCTAATTCGCCTCTCTCTTCCACTCTCCTTCACTAAGTTCTCTGAAATCTACAGCCTAAATCTTAAATCCATTCCTTCCTCTCCATCCTCAAAACAGCACCAATATCAAAAGAATAGATACTTTTTGGACAACTGCATGTACTTCCTGCAACTGTTCTCCTTGTCTAGTCTTGAGTATCTCTAAACCAGTGTTAACATAAAGGACTAACTTTTTTAAAAAGTCTTTATTTAAATTCTAGTTAGTTAAACATATGGTGTACTATTGGCTTCAGGAGAATTTCGTGATTTATCACTTACATATAACACCCAGTGCTCATCCCAACAAGTGCCCTCCTTAATACTCAACTCCCATTTAGACCATTTCCTGCCCAGCTCCCCTCCAACAACCCTCAGTTTGTTCTCTGAGAGTCTTCCGGGACGCCTGGGTGGCTCCGTCGGTTATGCATCTGCCTTCCGCTCAGGTCATGATCCCAGGTTGCTGGGACTGAGCCCCATGTCTGGCTCCCCGATCAGGGGGGAGTCTGCCTCTCCCTCTCCCCCCAGCACCCACAATCCCTGCTCATGCTCTCAAATAAACAGATAAAATCTTTTCAAAAAGTCTCTTATGATTTGCCTCCCCCCCTTTTTTACTCCTTACCCTTTAGGTTCATGTTTTGTTTCTTCCACTTATGAGTGAAATCATATGGCATTTGTCTTTCTCTGACTTATTTTTCTTAGCATAATACACTCTAGCTCCATCCGACAGCATTGCAAAAGAAAAGATTTCATTCTTTCTGATGGCTGAGTAATATTTAAAGGACTAACTTTTTATAGTGAAATACAAACAACGTGAGAATGCGTCCTACATAATAGGTATTATTTCATGAAACATGTTTGCAATAAATATGGCATATTTACCCAGTTCAAAGATTTCTTACTCTGTGTAGTGGCTGAATTTATACAGTGGACTGAAGGTAGAGAAGTCCAAAGGCCACTAAGCCATCTTTTCCAAAATATTAAACAAATGTTATCTCTCTCTTTAAAAGCTTTCAGTGGCTCCCTATTAACCAGAGAATAAAGTCCAAAGTCCTTGAAATGGCACTAGAATTTGTCCATAGTAAGTTCTGTCCTTCTTCCTGGCCTTATGTCCTGTCACTCCTGTCATTTTATGCTCCATTCCTACCACCTTTGCACATACCATTCCCTCTGCGTATTTCTTTCTCTCCTTGATCTATACAGCAAATCCTGCTCATCCTTCGATTTATAGTTGAGATCTACTCCCCAATGCCTCTAAGTCCTGAGAGAACTAAGTTTACACCAGTCACCCAAAGACGGACCTCTGGCCAGCCTTCTACACTGTTGACAACTGCATCCTTTTTGAAATGTTCTTTCCTGCATGACACAACAAAAGTCAGGCTTTCACTCTACTCTTCTGACTGCTTCTCTTCAGTCTACTCTTAGATGATGGTGTTCCTAAAGTTTCTTTCCTAGGTCACCTTTATTTTCTCTATATGCTTTATATGATCGAATCTATGTCCAAAGCATCAATTATCACGTTTATGCGAAGAATCCCCAAATCTTTATTTGCAGCACAAATTAATTTAACAGGTACAAACCCACAGATCCCATTCTCTGACTCCATTCACTTCTCTCCCTCTCTACTATACACAACCAACTATAAACCATCATTATCTCCCACCTAGACTAACTCCTTTAGTCTTGGGCCTGTTCTTCCTCTCTCTTTCAATCCATTCTTCATTTTCTACCCACCAGCCAGAGACCTTTAAAAAAAAAAAAAAAAAGATGTGGGTGCAAGCACATACACATAGTCGCTTCCCTACTGAAAACACATTAAAAGTTTCTCACTGTCCTTAGAGGTAAAGTTCAAAACCCTCAGGACTGCCTATATTTCCCAGTATGATCTGATCCTTTCCTACCTCCCTGCAGCCCCATCTCTCTCTACTCTCTTCTGTTGACAGTATGCACCAGTTGCACTTCAGGAACATTTCCTTACTTCCTCTTTTCTAGCTAACTCTTCATCCTTTTTTAGCCCTCAGAATAAGCACCTCATCTTCTGGGAGATTATCTCTGATCCCACAGAGTGGATTAAGATTCCTGACTCCTACCATAATGATGTATGTCTCTCACCTGTCAGCAGGTGGACTTTGTAATTGTTTATCTCTCCTGACAGATTTTAGGATCTGAAGACAGTGCCCAAGTTACACTTGTTCAACCCTGTATGCCAGAAACAAGCACAATGCCAGCTAATACTAACAGCTCTGCAGCCCCCGGATATAAAATCTGAACCAAGAGAAGTTGTGACCTTCTTTGTACCTTTTTTCCATCTAAAGGCTGGAGCTTCACATACACAATTAGACTTTCTTAACAACTAAGGCAATTTCTCAGTCAAACTCGAGAAAAGCAAACAGGTGGAGTCTACTGCCATTTTCCCCCCTGAGAGTAACTGCTCACCAGGGTTTCTCACACCACCAATCCCAAAGGAGAAAATTTGGCCACATTCCCCTACTAGTGACCTATTGGCTCAGCAAGACGGCCTGAGTGGTGCACACAAGACACCAGAAAGGGGTGACTGGAGTCCCTGGGTCCCCAGACAGAGACCGAAAGGTTCGGGCCAAAACGAAGGACAAAGATCTTTATTTCCCCACGTACCAAGCGAGGTGGAGCTGCCTCTGTGCGGTCCCGCCCGCCCCGGGACGCAGCCTGACGAGGACGGTGGGACCCTGAACTGCACGGGAGCGTCCTTGGAATCGAGGACGCGCCTCTGCCTGCTGGGGAAGCTCCGGGCGTCCGAGGCGGCCGGCGGAGAAGTTGCAGCGGCGCCCCAGCGGGGTCGCTTGGTGCAGGGCTCACAGCCGGGGCCCGCACTCATGCTTGGGACCCGCAGCGCAGAGTCCCCGGGCCGGCCCGGGCGGAGAGCCTCATTCACTAACCCTGAGAGGGACGGACTGCGCCTCCTCCTCGGCGCCTCCCGGCACCATTCCCTCTTTGCCGCTGCCTCTCTCTGCAGTTGCTGCTCTGCCGGCCTCCCGAGCCAAGCCCTAGCCAGTCGCCTGCCTTCCCTCTTCCACAGGCACCCCCACCTGCCTCAGAATGCGCCGCTTTGATTCTGCCTTGGTTCACTTTCCCACCACCGGAAGGCTGCCGTCAGGCGCTTCCGTTTTTCGGGACGTATAATGTCGCAAAACGGAAGTGCAAGGATTACCGGGTACCGGCTCCCGGAAGGTCACCGTGTGAAGGAGGCGGTGGGAACGCGGGTCTCCCCGCTGTTTCTGGGGAGCAACGGCAGAACAGACGAACCTGGCCTGAGGCGGCGGTGAGAAGCAGACGAGCAGTTTGCTGCGACACCATGGAGAGCGGCGGGGGAAGCGGGAACAAAACCACAGGGGGGTTGGCCGGCTTTTTTGGAGCCGGCGGGGCAGGTTATTCGCACGCGGATTTGGCCGGCGTCCCGCGTAAGTATCAGGCCTACCTTGTGAACATTTCTCAGTGGTTCTTGGCGACTCCGCCAGACGTATAGTGTGTTTACTGTGTTTTTTTTCGGCTGGCTTTTACAATCTTTAGTACCAGTGATGGGGTTAGGGTGTTTGCGCTGCCGCTCGAGTTTTTGGAGCCATGGATCCCCGAGAAGTTCTGTCCGGGTGACGTGGACGCGGGATGCTGCATGTTTTCTTCCCTTTATAGACGAGTGTGGTGCCTTATCTTTCCTACCACACATTTCTTGTGCGTTGAGCTGTGTGTTTGACTCTAGATTAAGAGGAGAGCCTACCTCTGCGAGTAAATACATTCCAAATAGGCTATAAATAACTTTTAAGCTTTAAGTCAGTGTTTCGAAACTGCGATATAGCCTTCAGGGCAGAACACTTAATATTGAATGTAGGCAAGAAAGAAATCTGAGTCGGGCCAGCGGAGGAGCCAAGAAGTGAACTGCACTATATAGGCCATTTATGGACTTGAAAAAAGAAGCCAGGTAAGAATTTTAGGAAACGAAATATGCAAGGTCAAAAGTGCAGAAATATGAATACCACCTGTCTGTGCCCTCTCAATCCTGTGAATGTCGTCCAGATGTTTGGGACTTTGCGGGTATTCAGCTGGATGAATATAACTTGTTCTACTTCTCCATGTCTTCTTTGGTCAAGAGCAAAAGAGTCCTAGTGTCACTTATGTCAAAACTGAATCTGGAACACATTTTACTTATAATAAGCCTTCCGAGGTCTGAGTTTTGGAGCACAAAGGGTACTGCCTTAATATGACAAAGCATTGTTACATTAATTTGATTAAGGTTTGAAGGTAAATTGAGAGGTCGAGGGTGACCACCATTCACTGAACACCTGGAATGGGCCAACGACTTTTCTGGGTGCAGGACTACTAGTGGTAAAAAGAGATGATTGCTGCTTTCATGGAGTTTACATCCTAGTTTGCCAAGTAACACAAACACATTTCAGTTAATAAGTGTATGTAAAGGCATCAAAACAGGATCAGGGGATGGGAGCAGGTCACTGTTTTAGAATAAATAGGTCAGGGAAAGCAACCAGAGGGTGTTTACATTTGAGCTGTGACTTGAATACAGTACAAATGTGGGGGCGCATAGGCACATGGAGGTACACAAGGGAAAATGGTTAGTCCAAGTGCCCTGGGGTGGGGGGGGACAGACCTGACATGTTTAAAGAACATCTGATGGGCCAGTGTGTCTACAAAATTGAAAGGGAGTTGGAGCAGTAGGAGATAATGAGATCAGGAGAGCAAGTAATGGCTGCTAATGCATTGTTTTATAAGCCATGGTAAGGAGTTTGGATTGGATTAAAATTGTGAATGGAAGCCATTAAGGCTGATTTCCTTTTCCTAAAAAAAAGTCACTTTAGTTACTATATAGGAAGTGAATTGAAGGGATTAGAGCAGATTAAGGAGTTCATTTAGGTAGGAGATTGTTACTGTAGTCTAGGTGAGATTTAATGGTTGGACTAAGATGGTAGCAGTAAGGATGGTGGTAAGTAAAAGTTCGAAATGAATATTGAATATAGAATTAATAGGACTTTCAGTTGATGAAAGGACTAGAGTCATGGGTATTAGATTTGTGGACATTCAGAGGATTCAAGGATTAAATTCAGAATATGAGAAAGTTGATATTCCTTGATAGATTTTTTTCCCATTGTCAAAGTTAGTGGGATTCAAGTCTGGCTCTCTAAGAGTTTCCATTTTCTTTTGTCCTGACTCCCATTCCTGTGGTGATGACCCAACAGTGTTCTACACTGCCACAGCAAATCACCTTTGTCAGCAACTATCAATACTAAGATTTGAAGGAACGGCCTTAAAATATTTATATATAACTCAACCCAAGCACTGGTTTTCCCATGAAATTCACTTGTCTATTGTCAGTCTTATTTTGCAATTTGTGTAGATGTCAAGCATCCTTGTAGCAAAGTAGAGGAAATTAGCTTTATAATTGACTTCGGCTATGCTTCCTGCTCCTTTGATTATTTGATCCACATTATTGCCAATATCTTCTTGGTATGAGAGCCTGAGCCACTAGTGCAGGACTTGGTTTGAAATTCAGGACCTCAGGAGGAGACAGCCACAAAACTGCCAGACAGGATAAGGAGAAAAGTAGAAAAGGAGAAAATTTCATATTCAGTGAGCCTGTAAATAAAAATTGAAGAACACCTGAAACAGCGTAATTAACACTGAATGAAATAACTTTTTAAAATTTCATTGCAATGTGATGTTTTCTCTCTAGTGACTGGTATGAATCCTCTGTCTCCGTATTTAAATGTGGATCCACGGTATCTCGTTCAGGTAAAATTAAGACTAGTCCTTTTATGAATTTATTAGTTTGGTGATTTATCTTACTGCTTTAAAAAAAAAAATTCAGGTTCTTATGCTAACTAGATCTGTGATACATATTTCTGGAGGCACCAACTCCTTTTTCTTTTCTTTTCTTTTTCTTTTCTCAGAAACTCTGGGATTTGACTTTTATCTCTCTGGTACTAATTAACTAATACCCTTTGAAGGGTTTTTGGGGTTTGAGGTGTTTTGGGTTTTTTTCCCCTTTCCCATTTAAATTGTGAAATGTACTAACATTAAATTTACTATCTTACCCATATTTAAGTGTACTGTCCAGTAGTATTAACTACGTTTGTAATATTGTGCAACAATTACCACCTACCATATCTGTAACTCATTTCATCGTGTAAAACAAACTATACCCGTTGAAAAATAACTTCATTCCACCCACCCATCCCATGGCAACCACCGTTCTGCTTTCTGTTTCTGGTTTTGATACTCTTAAGTACCTCAAATAAGTAGAATTATAGTATCTGTCTTTTTGTGATTAGCTTATTTCATTTAACATAATATTCTCAAGTTTCACTTATGCTATAGCATGTGTCAGAATTTCCTTCCTTTTAGGCCGACTAATATTTAATTGAATAATATTCCATTCTGCTTATCCATCTGTCCCTGGATGCTTGGATTGCTTTCATATTTTAGCTATTGGGGGTAGTGTTGCTCTGGACGTTAGTGTACAAATGTCTCTTCCTGAATCTTTTAATTTCAGTTATATATTCAGAAGTGAAATTACTGGATCTTATGGAAATTTTATTATTTATCTGAGGAACTGCCACACTGTGTTCCATAGCACTGTACCATTTTACATTCCCAAGAACTGCACAAGGTTTGCAATTTCTCTGCATCCTCATCAACACTTGTTATTTTCTGCGGTTTTTTTGATCATAGCTATTCTAATGGGTATGAGGTGGTGCTCCTTGTAGTTTTGAGTTGCATGACCCTAATGATTAGTAATGTTGAACACCTTTTCATATGATTTTTGCCCATTTTATGCCCATTGCCATACCTTTGGAGAAATGCTTATTTTTAAGTTCTTTGTCCTATTTTTGAATTGAGACTTTATTGTAGTTGAATTTAAGTTCTCTATATATTCTGAATATTAACCCCTGATCAGGTAACATGACTTGCAAATATTTTCTCACATCCTGTGGGTTGCCTTTTTACTATGCTGATTACTATCTTTTGAGGCACAGTATTTTTAAATTTTCACAAAGGCCAGTTCTTATTTTTCTTTTTTTGTTTTTTAAGATTTTCTTTGTTCATTTGACAGAGGGAGAGAGATCACAAGTAGGCAGAGAGAGGAGGGGAAGCAGACTTCCCACCGAGCAGAGAGCCCAATGAGGGGCCCGATCCCAGGACCCTGAGATTGTGACCTGAGCCAAAGGCAGAGGCTTTAACCCACTGAGCCACCCAGGCGCCCCTTATTTTTCTTTTTTTTGTTGTTGTTGCCTGTGCTTTGGTGTCAAATCCAAGAAGTCATTGCCAAATCCAGTGTCATGCTTTTCTCCCATGTTTTCTTCTAAGAGCTTTTTTGATTTTAGGTCTTATATTTAGATCCATTCAGTTTTTATATTATATTATATTTATATTATATTAGGTGTTTAATTTTTTTATTAGGTGTTAGGTAAGGATCCAACTTTACTTGTTCATGTGGATATCTGGTTTTCAGAGCCTCATTTGTTAAGAGTATTTTTTCCTCATGGAATGGTCTTGGCAATCTTGTTCAGAATCATTTGACTATATGTGAGGGTTTATTTCCAGGTTCACTATTCTGTTTCATTGGTCTGTTTGTCTGTCTTTGTCAGTATCACACTCTTTTGATTACAGTAGCCTTGTAGTAAGTTTTGAAATCAGGAAACGTGATTATTGTTCTTTTTCTTTCTTTCTTTCTTTCTTTTTTATTTTTGTCAGAGAGAGAGCACAAGCAGGAGGAGCAGCAGGTAGAGGGAGAAGCAAGCTCCCCGCTGAGTGAGGAGCCTGATGTAGGACTCAATCCCAGGACCCTGGGATCATGACCTGAGCCAAAAGCAGACACTTAACCAACTGAGCCACCTAAGCATCCTGATTATTGTTCTTGTTCAAGATTGTTTTGGCTGTTTGGGGCTCATTGAGATTCCATATTA